CAAAAAACAGAATACTGCAAACAAACTGAGAAAAAATGCCTTATAGATCAAAGGAACCACCCAGACCTTGTACCTGTACTCCCCAGTGATGTGGAGGCATTGGAGGTTCTGTTTTATGTGATGAAAACTCACCCTTGCCCAATGTGTTCTCCCAAAATACAACTACTTTTTCATTAGAAAAAAAATGGATTAGAATTTTCCTGGTGACTGGTTTCCTTGAATTGTATTTGTTACTGGAAATACTTGAGAAATTTCTTATGATTGTTCAAATGGTTAAAAGAAATATCAACAACTGAAAAAACTTTCAGGGCAATCAGATGGAGATATATGTGTGCCTGTTTTGAGATTCAACTTTTCATTTAAGATGTCTTCCCTGATCTTTACATCTGCATTGATATTAGCTTCTAGACACTTCAAGTCTAATGAAATTTAATGTATATAATGGAAAATAATTATTTGCATACTATTCTCATTAAATCAAAGCTAAAGGGGCTATTTAAGCCATCCAATTTGTTTAAAAAAGTAAAAATATTTGAAGAACAATTACTTTTATTCTGTTTAATATTAATGTAACATTATTTCTGTTAAAATATTGTTTAATAATGTTATTAAATAATATTGAATATAAAGTAAGTAAATATCTATTTCTCAACCACATGAAAAAATCATTTTCACAAAGATTTAATTATTACTAAAATTAAGAAATAATTCTTTTGTTAAAAATATATTTATAAATCTTTAATGCTTGAATATTCCCTGTTGTCTCAAGATGGCAAAGAAACAAGACAGTTGTGATGAAAGCACAATTTCATTCAAGTTTAATTTGATCTTGTTCTTTAACTTTGACAGCTTGGTTCTGATTGTTCCATCTGTTATGTACATGTCTTTAAGTGACTAAATCTCAAGGGGAAAAATAACCCATTCTTCAGTGAGTTGGCACATGTTACCTCATTTTCAAGAAATCATTATCCTGTCTCCCTCTGTTTCTTTGTTGAAATATGAACTCTAATTTCATGAGGCTTTTAAAAATTAAGCAAAATTTTCCTTTTCTTCATTAAAGAAAATGAAGAAAAGAATAATTTTACAAAATTCTCAAATGTCTATAAAAGTTGAACAGACATAACCTGATTAAAAGGAAAGAACACCAAGCTTTGAAAGCTTAGTTTTATAAAATCTGCCTTTGAGTTCTTAGAAATTCAAGCCTATCTATATATGCTGAATTAGAGTTGCTGTCTTTTTCTTCTAACCATTTTTACTAATTATTTTTTAAAAATTAACTAATGTTTAATAATTACATGGTAGAAATATATAGAATATTCTTTTCATTTTAAGAATAGGTTTTCTATTCAATTTGACTGATGCAATTGGATGAGAGTTGGATGAAAATTTATTTCAACTCAATTTCTGGAAACATGTTTCCTTCCATAATATTGACAGAACCCCTCCTAGATGAAAATATTCTTAATTTTGCAATAGTTTGAAGAAGAAATTACAGTAACAAATCCTGTAGCTTATGTTGTTTATCTTCAAAAGTAGGGGCAGGGAACAGAAGTAATATTGAATCATTAAAACGTTGAACCAATATCTTTTAAAACATTTAGTTAAATGCACCTGATTCTGTTGAACTCAGATCATCAGCAAAAAAATTGGAGCAGATCTTCATTTCCCCATAATGAAATAGATAAGACTGGATTCATTTCACTTTGATTCTGGATGTCTACATATCTTAGATCTACGTTTATTTCTTCTTATTGCTTGTCTATTGTAAAGGGTAGCAACAGATAAAGCAAATTATTAAAAAATGTTTAAATAAACATTACAGAGTAGATTAGGTGGAATTTTCAGACTAACATAACTCTTCTCGAATAATTAATCCTGCCAAATTTTATATTAATAGGCTTTGGGCAGGCTTATACAGTACAGGTTTGAGAATTCAAAACAGAATGAGCCAATATTGCTTTTTTGGACAGAGGCATGGAGGAGACAAGGAGGTTAAATAACAAAAGCATTTGCAACACAAGATCTGCCCTTTTTTGTATGTGCGCTAACTCGACATAGACATAAGAAAGGGGTGGAATATGTGTTGCAATGATGCAACGTTGCTTTTTCATTTTTTTCAAACGTGCAAGATCCTGAAGATGCATCTTGAGCTTTCTAGTTTAGAGTGCAGGAGAAAATGAATAAAATGATTTTTTTCTGATAATTGCCATTTACATTTTTTAATGAAAATGGATACATCAATAAAAGTGAATAGGCAAAAAGTCTTCAGTTTTGTAAGGATAAGTATGGATGCTGTAGAGTTAAAGCATCATAATGAATGAAAATAGTTTTTTGTTTGTGTTTGTGTGTTCTGTTCAACTGACAGCATATTCATCAAAAATACAGATGTGGGAAATTATGTATGTATGTATGTATGTATGTATGTATGTATGTATGTATGTAAACTACAGTGTAGTAGAATCAAATGGGTAAACTTTTTCCAGGCTAACATCCAATATAATATTTAACACTGTCTCAGCTCTACTGCTAGGAGAGAAATCCACCAAAGATCACTGAATAGTAGAACAGTCCTTCAAACATTCCTCCCTCAAAATTTTAGATTTTAGTAGGTAGACGGTCCCAGTAAATCCATTAAGTATATTTACTAGTTATAGATTTTGCAACTAGTTGTGTTAGAATATGCAGCAAATCAGTGATTAAATGTCATTTTCCATTTTTATGTTTTCTATCCACACTGATTTTCAAATATACCTCTTCAGCCATCTGTACAGATTCCAGAACTTTTGGAATAGGGCAAGTTATCAATCAAAATTAATATTAGATAATTAACAAGCTATCATGGAAACCTAGCATGTACATCAATTAAAAATGTTTTTGTTTTTGTCAAGAATTTGGCAATAAAGCTGCCTGTAAAGTACTACAAAAATTATTTTTCTATAAAATTTCCAGAATCAATAATTTTGTTCCATCTGTGTTCTGGCTTCAGTTGTTGGTCATTGGTCATTAATATAGTATTTTTAGAAAAAGAAGTAGCATTTGTCCCCCTTTTCCACTTCTGTATTATTAAGCTGTTTTTATCTATAAGAGGGATATGCAGCATTGGAGAGATTAGAATGTAAATTCAGATTTCCAACTTATACTATGCTGTTGAAAGCCATCCAGTGATGTGATAATATTCCTGGATGTCTATTTTTAAACAATATTTTAATGGTGAAAATGGGAGTGAGAGGTTTCTGAAAGCCAAGCTACTTTAGTTCACCATTAAAATATCATCAATACTTGAAAATAGCCCCAAATCACAATCCTTAGGCATGATCTTTAACTAGATGTAAGGATGGGGATGAGGAAAACCTGCCTAGTAGAGGCAACTACCCCATTCCTTCTCTTTATCCCTCCCTCCCCCAGTAAAACAGAGTCCAAATCACTATTGCTATCCTTAATTTCTATTTAAAATTATAATCCAATTAGATTTGGTTATTTAACTATTTTGATTATTTAAGATTACAATTTCAATACACTATTTATTTATTTAGCAAATATGTAGCCTCCCGTCTCACATGATATAACTCTAAGGTGGAATACAACCACAGCAACAAAACAATATAACCAATCTTAAAACACTGACCATTAATCAAAATGAAAACATGAAGAAGCCAAAATAACAGAAGAATAACATAAAATATTATAAAATATACTAATGATACTAATATCATAAAATCATCATGGGATTTCCAAGGTTGCTGGAAAAAATACACATTTTAAATGCTTTCTGGAAAGCTAACAGGGATATAGGCAATCTCATTTCAAGGAGAATAATGTTCCAGACTCATAACAGAAGCCACAACAGAAAAGGCACATCTGTGTCCTACGAGATGGTTAGGGAATTCTGGGAGTTGAAGTCCACCCCTCTTAAAGTTGATCAGGTTGAGAAATACTGCCCAAGCAGACAGGGCCTGCAGCACACCCTTACTGCAAGATGTGATGGAATTGGCAGATGTAATCATGATGAGGCAGTCGTTAATATGATCCCATGCCATGTAGAGGTTTAAAGTCAAAACTAGCACCTTGCATTGTATACAGAAGTAGACTGGAAGCCAGTGCAACTCATGAAGCACATCCTAGGGGCACACATAAATGTCTGCACAACTGCATTCTCTATCAATTGTAGCTGCCAGATGCTCTTGAAGGGCAGCCCACATAGAGTATGTTGCAGTAATCTACTTTGAAAGTGACCAAGACATGAGTTACTGAGGAAGTCTCATGGTCCAGGAAAAGGATTTGGTGCACAACACAGAGCTGTGCAAAGGTCCTCCTGGATGATTGGAAAAGATCCAGATAATCCACTTCATCTAGGGCTTGCTAATAAAACAAAACAATATAACCAATCTTAAAACACTGACCTTTAATCAAAAAGAAAACATGAAGAAGCCAAAATAACAGGAGAATAACAGTCACCTAAAATGATCATTTCAAAACAGCATCAGTTAGCCAACCAGGAAGGTATCTATATTCTTGACGAAACCCCAAATTTTGGCAAGTGTGGATGAAATCTTAAGGACATCCAATTTAGTATATTTAAGAGGTACAGCAACAGAGGGAATGAAGTATCTTAATAACCTGAAAAACATCCTGGCTTGATGGCTCCAAAATGCTCTATCCTGCTTGTTGCTTAAACTGAGCAGTGCCTCTTTAAGACCCTGGATGTATAATCATCCAGAAAAGATTTTTCATTGCACAAGGGACAAGGATTCCAATGGAGCTGACTCCTTATACTATCCCAGAGATATTGTTTCCAAAATCAGGTGCTCTTAGACATCTCCCTTAATTGAAAATACTGCAGTTTCTTCACTTTTGCAACTATCATTTAAAAGTGATGCCTGTTAACTCATATGCTTACCTTTTAATATCTAGCCTTTAACTAATGAAATTTCATGAGTTCCAGTATGGTACATTATTTCATTAACTTGTGATCTTGTGGTTTTTTTCTTTCCTATTGTTAGCGTGGCCATTCTTATCTTCAATATTTCTCAGCAATGCTTTGTTGTGGTGAAGCAGTTCCGTCCAGGTAATTCTCTTCCTTACTTTAGCTTTTATTTTCTAGCAAAGCAAAGCTCTTATGGATTTAATGGTAAAAAGCAGGTGGGCCTCTATAGTTGCAGCATAATAATTTGTTTTGTAGCAAGAGGAAACTGCAATCGACCTTCTGGTAAATTACTGTACTCTGAGCTTCCTGATAGGATGTTCCCATCCTGAGATCTTTCAGTTTCACTGTAAGTTTATACCTCTCAATTAAGGTGAAAGATGTTTTCCGCTAAAGGGAAAATCTATCACTTTTATCTCCTGCTGTTTCTCCAAGCCAAGGGAGACAGAGTCATGTCAACTCACTAACCCAGCATCATTTAATGGATAGCCGATTGTTATTACAAGTATCTATCTGAAGGATTGTCCGTGCAAACCTAGTTTAAAGATTTCTAAAACAGGTGAGCCACAGATTAAATTTCACATCAAGAATGAACAGCTGCCCATTTGTGAGACTTCTGATCACAGCCTTCTCCATTATAATGAGATAATTTCTATTACTATTGGAGAAATTATTTATAAATCAATACAGAGGTGGTATTCAGCAGGTTCTGACCAGTTCTGGAAAACCAGTAGCAGAGATGTTTTTTTTTTAAATAAAGTTTTATTTGGGTTTTCACACATACAAAATACAAGTAAAACATCTGTTTTGAAAATAGCATGGTCCCGGGTTGAACTTCTTTATACAGACACAAAACTCAATTTCATGCTCCTTTTTGTATTCTATTCCATATCTTATACTATTTTACATTTTCTATATAGTTTTTCCCCTCTTTTGATTTTCTCGATTTTAATTTGATTATCTCATCTCAATTCAAATCCTTATATTTATACTTTTGTCTGTTCTGTTTCAATTTCATATTAACTTTTCTCATTAAACAAGTTTTCTCCTGTAGTTACTAATTGGAGTATGACACCTTTATATCTTTTAATTACATCCATTCAACTCTTATTTAAACTTCAATATATACCTTAAGATTATGACCTTCAATATAATACATAATACATAACTTCCAATCGAATTCTGCTTGGTACATTCTGAAAATACACACTATATTCTTTTTTTAAAAAAAGATTGTAAATATATGTAATTATAAACCCTCATTCCGTTCCAGTTCAGTTCTATCATTAATAATCATTAAAATCTTAACATCTTTAACACTTCTTTTCAATTAAATATCATACTTCCTTAAAAACACATATAATCTCCATAATTAATTTTTCCCTTATTTCTTTTCACATATGTTTTATAAATAATTAAATATACCTTTTATTACATTTATTTATTGACAAGCATTCCACTGAATTACGATAGCTATTTTATCATACATTTTAATCATACATTGTTTCATATTTTCTAAAATTATTTCTGTTTCTAATATAACCACACTATCTTATGTACCTTTGCAGAATCCCTTTTTCCATTAAATTTTCACCCATTATCTCTAAATAGGCCCTGTTTCTCTGTATTTTGTTTCTGTCCTTTATGACTTCTTTTCCTTTCTTTCTTCCCTCTCATCTTCTCCCTCCCCTTTTTACCCCCTTGTCTCTCTATTTCTAATTCTCTCTTCTGCATTTCCCTCTTCTGTTGCTTTCTGATTTTATACTTATTTTTCACTCTATTTTGGAGGGGGAGTTCTTTTTCCCAATCTTAAACTTTCCATTCTCTTTCTCCCCTTTTCTTTTTTTCCCCCATCTAAGAATACTTGTTCATTAAAGATGGCTTCTTCTTTGTCGCAATCTTCTTGTTCTGCAGGCATTTCTTGTTGTTTCTCATAATTCCAAATCTCCATTTCTAAAAACTGAAATACGAAGCCAAAAGAACCTCTCCCTTTTTGTGCATCTTCTTTGTACTTTTTAAGTTCCATTTTCAGTTCTTCTAAAAGTGGAGCCATTTTAAACAGTTTTAAACAACCACCCGATTGATTTTAGTCATTCAAAACAATAACCAAGAATCCAGAAATCATCAAGTAATCCAGATAGTCCCGAGTTATATCTTCTTATTTCTTTTTCGACTTTCTCTTCCTGGGGTTTTTGTTGTGATATTTCACTTAGAATGTATCTTTTGGAAGTCTTTTTTTTTTTTGTAAATTTTATTTGAGTTTTCACAAAGAGACAAATAAAACATAGCGTAATCCCGGGTTACGTTTCTTCGTACAGACACAAATTCAGGTTCATGCTCATTTTTATATTCTATTCCATATCTTATTACTATTTTACATTTTCTGCATAGCTTCTCATTTATTTTATTTCACTTATTTTATTCACAAACATATCACTAAATTACACTAACTATTTTATCCCTCATTTTAATCATACGTTGTTTCCAATTTTCTAAAGTTATTTCTATTACTAATATGACAATACAATCTTATGTACCTTTACAGAATCCCTTTTTCAGTTAGATTTTCACCCATTATCTCTAAATAGGTCCTGTTTCTCTATATCTTGCTCCAGTCCTTTGTAACTTCTTTTCCTTTCCTTCTTCCCTCTCTTCTTCTCTCTCCCCTTTTTACCCCCTTGCCTCTCTACCTTTATTTCTCTCTTCTGCATTCCCCTTTTCTGTTGCTTTCCAGTATTATACTTATTTTTCGAATTATTTTTCTTTTCTTTGGTTGTTTTTTTAAGTCTTAAATTCTCCATTCTCTTTCCCCCCTTTCCTTTTTCTTCGCCACATAAAATTGCTTGTTCATTAAAGATGGCTTCTTCTTTGTCCCTTGTTTTGCAGTCGTTTCTTGTTGTTTCTCATAGTTCCAAATCTCCATTTCTAAGAATTGAAAAACGAAGCCAAAAGAGCCCTTCCCTTCTTGTGCATCTTCTTTGTACTTTTTAAGTTCCATTTTCAATTCATCCAGAAGTGGTGCCATTGTATAAATTTTTAAACAACCACCCGATTGATTTTAGTCATTCAAATATAATAACCAAGAATCCAAAGATCACTAAATAATCCAAATACACGCAAGCTGTTTCTTTTTTGCTCTTTTTTTCACTTTCTCTTCCTGGGGTTATTATTTAGTTGCAAAGTTTCAGTTAAAATGTATCTTTTAGAAGTCTTGTTGAAGTTTTACTGTAGATTCTTTTTAATTCCAGGCAGTCTCCTCCCTCTTCCAGATCCTGCCCTTATTCTTTTTCTCTCCCTTCCTGCTTATGACAAAGAAAAATTTTAATGTCCAGAAATCTTTATTATCCCTTTGGCATTTTGTTTTATTTTCAGCTTAATTGCCTATTGATGTCAAAGCGGATTTTTCTGGTTTCTTATTTAAGTCTCTTAGTTGTCAGTATAGGGAAGGAGAGAGAAGGGGAAAAAAGCCAAACCTTTCCCTTTTCACTTTCCTTCACTGCTTCCGACTCTTCTTTGGGAGCAATGTTATTTTTTGTAAGTTTAAATTCCAGGGTACCTTAGTTCTTGCTTTTACAATTTAACCCGGTCAGCCAAAACTTTCACTTCTTATCTTCCTCCTGCACATTCTTTTCCGGTCGAGTTCTCCTTTGTGGTGGCCATTTCTGACCACCGCTACAACCGCCTTCAGGAAAGTAATGGCCAGCTGAGGAGGAGAGATGCGGCTCTCCTCGACCCTGCTGGCTGTCTCCCCCCTCTTCACCACCTCTACGGGGTGGCTTAGCCCCGAAACCAGTCAGCTCGGGGTGCTCCAGCGGCGAGCCCCGACAGAAACCGCGCACGATCACGGATTTCTGTCTGTCACCGAAGCCCTTCAAACCGGAAATCCGTACCTTTTGGAAGTCTTGTTGAGATTTTGCTATAAGTTCTTTTTTAATTCCAGGCAGTCTCCTCCCTTCCAGATCCTGCCCTTTTATTCTTCCTCTCTCCTTTCCTGTTTTCAAAAGCTTTTAATTATCCAGAAATCTTTATTATCCCTTTGACTTTTTATTTTCAGCATTAAATGCCTATTGATGTCAAAGTGGATTTTTTTCCAATTTCTGACTTAAGTCTCTTAGCTGTCAGTATAGGAAAAGGAGAAAAAAAACCAATTCTTTTCCCCTTTCTCTCTCCTTCGCAGCTTAAAAATCTTCTTAGGGAACAATGTTATTGTTTTTTAATAGTTTCAATTCCAGGGTACCTTATTTGTTGCTTTTGCTGTTTGACCCGGTCAACCAAAACTTTCTCCTCTTATCTTCCTCCTGCACATTCTTTTCTGGTCGAGTTCTTCTTTGTGGTGGCCATTTCTGACCACCGCTGCAACCACCTTCGGGAAAGGGAGTAATGGCCAGCTGGGGAGGAGAGATGCGGCTCTCCTCAACCCTGCAGGCAGTCTCCCCCCTCTTCACCACCTCTACGGGGTGGCTTAGCCCGGAAGCCAGCCGGCTCGGGGCGCTCCAGCGGCGAGCACGGATCGAAGCCTTGCAGAGACGAGGTTTCGGGCTGTCGCAGAAGAAGCTCAAACCGGAAGCCGCCCCAGTAGCAGAAATGTTGAGTAGTTCGGAGATCTGGCAAATACCACCTCTGACTGGAGATTTTACAGTATCCTTCCCCTGCCACGCCCATCATGCCATGCCCACAGAACCGGTAGTAAAAAAAATTGAATCCCGCCACTGAATCAATAGCTATATATAAAAAACTGAATCAATAGCTATATATAAAAAAGAATAAGGATATCTTGTATTCTTTTTCTGACAATAGAAGCGTGGTCACCTTATCATCCTTCCTAATATCTATAAATACCTATAAGTTTAATAAAAAAAATTAACTTAGGTAGTTGTAGAAGAGGTAAACAAAAATAAACAAAATAATGCAAAATAATGAGATTTTTATTCTTTTCATTGGAAATTAATTTGAAACTACTGTAAATCCTGGTTTTTTTTAATGTAATGTTTTTTAAACAAAACAATGCAAAATGAACTTATTTTTTAAAAAAACCATGACATTTCAGAAAAATAGACCTATATACCTGTACTCGTGAAAATCTATGAAAACACACACCACACACACACACATATATATATTTGTTTTCTTAACATATATATATATATGTTTTTGTCTCCCATCAGTGAAGAGATCCAGCAGAGAATCATCCCCAGAGAAAAATAATCCAGATGCCCTAAGCTCTATGGCCTCCCCAAGATATACAAAGACGGAATACCACTCAGACCCATAGTCAGCTCCATAGGCTCACCTCTACAGAATCTTGCCAAATTTCTCGCCAAACAACTCCAGCCCTACACAGAATCCATCACCTCACATGTACAAAACTCCTTCCACTTCATAGAAACAATAACGAAACAAAACCTACAACCCAGCGACCTACTTGTGAGCTTCGATGTCATATCCCTCTTCACCCAAGTACCCATCAAAGAAGCCTTGACAGCCATCCAAAACCAATACAACCCCCCCAAACACATCCTAGATCTGACCAACCACTGCCTAACCAACACATACTTCATCCACAATGGACAAAGATACAAACAGATAGAAGGAGCACCCATGGGATCACCCCTCTCACCCGTCATCACTAACTTATACATGGAACACTTTGAAACCAATGCTCTAGACAAATCCGAACACAACCCAAACTCTAGCTCAGATATGTAGATGACACTTTCGTAATTTGGCCACACAGGAAAGAAAAACTGGACAACTTCCTCACACATCTTAACAACCTACACCCCAAAATACAATTCACCATGGAAACAGAAACCAACAACCAACTTCCCTTCCTGGATGTCCTAATTTACAAAAAACCCAATGGCTCCCTAGGACACACCATCTACCGGAAAAAAACACACACCAACCCTACCTAAATGCACAATCCCATCACCACCCTGCACAGATCAACTCCATAGCCAAGACCCTCATCTCCAGAACCAAAAGCCTAGCTGACAAAGACCACCTGAGAACAGAATTACACACCCTCACTAACGTATTAATTTCCAACGGATTCCAAAGAAACACAATCACCAACCTAATCCGAAAAGAGATACCCCAAAAAAACCAAGACACAGAACAAGACAACGGTATCGCACTCCTCCCATACATCAAAGGCACCACAACAAAATCAGCAAAATTCTCCACAAACACAATATCAGGACAGCCTTCGGCACTGACCAAAAAATAGCCAACATCCTAAGAAACCCTAAAGACAAGATCCAGCTAGAAAACCAAGGAGTTTATGAAATACCATGCAACAATTGCCCAGCCACATACATCGGACAAACCAACAGGAGAATAAATGCACGTATCGCAGAACACAAAAATGCAGTCAGAAGAGAAGAAAATACTTCCTCCCCCTTCCAGCACCTTAAAGCCACAGGACATGAAATTAATTTTGAAGGAACCAAATTAATATCCAACACTGAACACTCCAGCAAGAGAATAATCAGGGAAGCCATCGAGATAGAGAAACACCCACATAACATGAATAGACAGGATGACACCTCCTGCCTACCAGACATCTGGAAGCTAGCCCTCACCAACAAACGAGTCCCAGCCACGAAAACCAACACCAGACCCGAAACAACACGGGACACCACCGCCAATCCCCCTCATCAGACCCAGGCCCAAGCCCATCCTATAAACGAAGGACAACCACCATCCAGAAACCAGACCACGGCTGCTTCGCCAGCTGTCATACACCCCAACCCCAAAACCAAACAAGCTGACACACGTCAAGAACACAGACCCAGACCTCAAACTCGAAGCCAGACTAAAACCCAGAATGCTACATCATGGCCACCCGCTCAGGATATCACATCAGAAAACTCAGGAAATTACACCACAAGAACTCAAGAAGTTGCAACACAGCAAATGACCCAGGATATCACAGCACAAGACCAAGTATAGCACAGCAACAAATCTCACAAGGTCATCACACAACCCATTACCCAAGCCGTTACAACACAGGAGGCTAATGGAAAAGAGATCAAAACACAAACGACTTAGGAGATTACAACGCAGGACCCAGGATACCACAACAAAAGAACTCGCAAGCCCATCACACAACCCATTACCCTATAATGACGTGGGAAAATACCCGAACAAAGCTGAATACCATACATACATACATACATACATACATACATACATACATACATACATACA